GACAAGTCATATTACAATACAATATAATTAAAGCGAGCGATTTTCATTTAATAAAACTACTAAAAGGTCATATATAAAGTATATACCTTTAAAATAAAAAAAAAATGGGTTTGTTTTTTGACGATAAAAACTAAATATTAGATAGAAATTTAACGATATCGGCATTGATCGATTCCAATGGATAGGCACCTAAATATCTACCTAAAATTATATGTATTATCATGTATTGCACATTATATTATTTTATACACATCACTACCACAGACATAACCTTCAACTTAGATATTGAATGTATAAAAAGTAAATAATTTTAACTTAACAAAATTCCGACGCTATTAAAATATAATATAAACGTATGATTCACGTTATTGCAATTATAACGATAATTATTATTATTATAATCATGGTAGCGGTAACAGTTACGGCTATATTATATAGTACGGTGTTCTATTATAGCACGTCTCTAAATGAGGAAATGCCTGGGTATATAGGTATGCCAGCCAAAAACAAAGAATTATTATTACAGACTAAAATCGTATAGGGTGGTTCATTTAAATGGCTACACTCGGCATTTTGAAAAGTATTGACTTTTTTCAAAAATATTTATTTTTTTTTTTATATTTTAAGAAACAATCAACTTTAAAATGTTATATCAACATTATTTTCTTTCGTCTTTTTCTTAGAGGTAAAACCAAGCAGGCATGTTTTTAATTTATCCACTACTTTCCCACTACACAAATTTAAAATCGGAGTATTTAGTCAACGGGTTGACGGAAATAAAAAATGTCAACACCAAAATTTATTTGAATTAATCTCTCAATCTAATTTTTGAAATTTCATTAAAGTTACTCATTTGAAAACTAAAAGTAGGTACTTAATTGTTTCATCCCCAAAAATAATATTGGTTTAACATCAATTGACAATTGAATATTACAAATACACAACATATTTTTTCAAACACTTTCAAACTAAAATTTGACCATTACTAAATAGGAAAGTTACTAAAGTGAGATCTTTAGTAATAAGTGAACCATATATGTACATATATATAAGTACATAAACTATAAAACTTTAAAAATTATTTCTTTATAGAACTTCATATCAAAAGAGTGTATTAGAAGACTTGCTTATATACTCCTCACAACGTGTGTATCTGTAAACTGTATATCTTTGTATGATCTGTATATTTTTATATTGAAATATTTAAATTTGTGTGATTCGAATAAATGATCACAGCACTGAAATAGTAAATATGACAAAGATCCTCCAGTACTGTGGGTTTCAAGTGGAAAAAAATAGTAATTGTGATTTTTAGCTGTATTTTAGAATAGATTTTTAGCTTGCTGAGAAATATATTATAATATGGCATTTAGCGATTTAAAAAAAAAACTGTAACTGGAGATGGGTGAATCCATTGTTGTAGGGGGGAAGTTAGGAAGATTAGGATATATAAAGTAATTTAATTTATATCTGTACACAGAAATAAACCATTGCAAAATAAAAACGATTCATAGTGAAGGTCGGTAAGACATATTCTAAAATGTCGTATTTATTATAATTTCTGTCTAAAAATTTGATAGTTCAACACTTATGAAAAAAAAAAAAAAAAAACTATTGTATTAAACTCAAATTTATATTTAAGACCACTAAGTGCAACTTATAATATCTCTTGTATTAAATTGTCAAGCATTTCTCTTAAGTCATAAAATCTGAATAAGTATAATAACTTTAGCGTAGAATTATCTAGAATATTTTGGAAATTTCACCACAAAAGGAGAATTTTAATTTTAACCAAATAATGAAAACTTGAATGCCGTACACTTTTCCGTATTTCTTATGTATTTTACCGGTTTTTCGTAGTTATTAACAATATTAAACGGAAAATCAAACAACGACTTTCTTACTCACAAACTAGACAAAAATTTTTTTCAGAAAATATACTATTTATACAATTTTGAGTAAAATTTCTGACAGAATAATATCATCTTAAAAGTTTAAAATAATAAAATAACTGCACCAAAATTTAAAAATTTCGTTTTTCTTGTCTTTTTGGTTTTCCCCGAGAATAATTATTATTAAGAAAAAATAGTTTATATATAAAAAATAACTTTCTCTATCATAGCTATCTTTTGAAAAGAACAAAATCGATTCTTTGTCATTTTTCAATTGGAGCAATATTTCTTGTAAAAAACATAATTCGCAAAAATTAAAAATAAAGAAATCGATAACGGCTTGGCGTGACGTAAATATTTGCCGTTTTGCCTATACATTTCTTCTCAGTTTTTCCCAATTATTTTGAAGATCTCTTAGAATATCAAAAAGTTACCTGTTTAATACATCTACCTACAAAAAAAATACTTTACTTTACACCTGGGTTAATATTTCTGGTGGAAAAGTTGTTTACAGATACAAAAAAAAAATTAAATTACGAGTACACATGATAGTAAAACCAATAAATTCGCTTTGAATTTAAAAAATGAACTTATCAAACAGTTATTCAATATATTATTTGTTTTTCGTTAATGTTTGGGTTAAAAATATTAAAATTGAAATAGGTAATATGCACTTTATAATGACTTAATATAATTCTAAGTTTTAACTACCTATTGTTTTTATATATTATGTAAAAAAATTACATATATTTTCATACTTAGCTAATCCTTTGAAAATTTTTCCAGATAATCGATTTGGTCGGTTGAAATAAAAGAAAAGCAAAACAAATGGAATCTGATGTTTTCGTCGTATTCACAATATTTCAAACAATTTTATCTATTTTTTTCATGCAAATTTGTATTATTCAATATTCATGTTACACAGATGTTTAATATTTTACAAGGTAATATGAAAACTATATATTATATTTCCGGAGCAAAAATAAACAGGTTTGTATATTGTCATGCATTATACATGTATATATAGTAGTCCATGCATTAGAGAAATGAATATATAATGCTGTCGCACTTTATGCGGATATTTTGAGCTCTTAAGATTAGAGAATACTCGAGAGTTTGAATTTTAGATTCTGAGCTAAGCGAAAAATGTATTGGATTTACTATAACGTTCTGAAAAGCATATTTCAGAAAACTTATAATTAGTTTTCTGACATTAATTATAATTTATGTATATGTTAGAAGTAGTAGTCATAGTGTGAACTGGTATACAGTTATCATTTACATTAAAAAAATTACAATTTCGTAAAAAATCGGTGTAACAGAAGCATAAGAATATATGTTCCTATCTTATGTTCGTGATAAATCAGTTTTTACGGACAATAGAAAATTATATATTTTATGTTTTTTTTTTGTTCTTTTTTTAATATTATTAACATCTCTATTTAGTGCTGAAACGTGTAATAGTTTTGGACGAGAAAATCCGTCTCCACTACTGATTTCGAATGCGAAACAAGACACAAGTAACTACCTACTCAAACGCGTTTAAAACCGATAAAATAATATAAATGTCAAACTTATTTAAGTACAATGATTCGTACAACATAAGTACGACATAGCCATAATACATTGAAATTTACATCACTCTGTTTTATTGGTTCGCACTCTTTAGCTAATATAGAAATAGTAAAATTGTATTTTAAGTTATGTCAGTTAGTTTTTTAATATGTTTCCTGAAAAAATTAATTTTCAATAGGTGTATTTTATGTAAATTGATTTAGAAACTATAATATTAGCACTCACAAAATTAAAAACATTATTAATAATTAATTTTATTAATTTTAATAATATGTAGATATTATTTGATTTCTAATTATATTTCTGCACTCTTATATTCAAAAAATATTAATTTCAAAATGTCAAAAATTTTAAAATGTATATCTTCTTTATTATGACTGTGATTAAAAAAAATAAACACAGGTATTAATAATTTATTTCACATTCATCTTTGGGGTTTTATCACCACGCCTCTGTTTTAACGGTACGTTAAAAACTTTATAGTTGATTAAAATCTTCAATTAAATCTTCATTGTCATTATCAGTCGTAAAAAATATAATATACTCGAATGAAATAATATTCTATACGTTTCCCTTTTGTGTTATTATAAAAACGAATCAAATTTTCTTTTTGATTAAAAAAAAATGTTTATATAAAATATATAAAGGAAGTCAAAATAACCAGTTATCTGTATAGACAGGGCACGAAATTACGATGAGTATCTATGCTAAATAAATACGAATGTTTTTTTTAGTTTAAAATCGGTGATTGAAACCAAGTAAAGTTCAATTTCCTATTTGTGGGATCCTTTGACTAGTTTTAGTGTTCTTTTCGAGCTGTTTATCGAGCACAAAAACACACAGTGTCACTGCGAAATCGAATACTTCCCTCACTTCGGCGTGGATTTAAAATATAAAATAAATATTCAATATTAATATAAATGTTTAGATTCTGAATGTATTTTATTTTTTCAATATTTACCAGCCAAAACAATTTTATTTTTTTTTTTTTCGGATTTCGTATTATAATTTTTTAAAATACATAAGAAAATTAACTATTATTTTTTAAAAGGAATGATAAAAAAAAATATAGTTGATATAATATAAAAAGTATTTTCCGAGAATGTTGTATAAAACTTTAAGTGTGTCTACATCATTAAACAGCTGAAATCTAAAACATGTGTCCAAGTTAATAAAATATGATCTTGTTTGATTTTTTTTTTTTTTTTTGGTATACCAGTAAAAATTGGTGTATGATGGTGAAACTATGTTGTATGGTTCAGACTGTTCAGAGTGTTGACAGAAAAATAAAACAGAGCATGAATGTAGCAGTTGATGGATTGACGGAAATCAAAAATTTTAAAACCAAAATTTATTTTTACTAATACTTCGTTTATTTATGAAACTTTTAATATAGGTTGTCATTTAAAAATCAAAAGATGGTTTTATCTCAAAAAACAAGGGCAACAAAAATGACGCAAATATAAAATTGTAGAACTGCTTGTTTCTTAAATGCTCTATAAAACAAATTCCAAAAAAATTTAATACTTTCCGAGATAATGAGTATTTTACAATAGATTGATCACCTTGTGTAGGACGCATTCTCTGTATAGGGAGGTACACTAAAAAGAAGTCTAAAACAAACTACAATAATGTACGAACTAAGAACAAATCAATTTACTAATGAGAATTCAAACAAATCACGTTTATATTATGTAGGGAAATATTTTATTAATTATCTAACTACCTATTTTACGAATTTAATTCAATATACTGTTAAAATAAACTTATTTACAACTCTGTTTCAGGAATGGAATTACAAAGAAAACAATCAGGTTTGGCAAATGCTTTGTGTTCATTTTACTATAAATCCACACGTATTTTTAAAATTTGGTATCGATTATCTGTAACCGTGTCATCTACGTCAGTCAAACACGTCAATATATTTAAAACATATTAATACTACACTATTCTATACTTTACAGTATACATATATATAATTAAGAATATAAAATGTCAATCAATATAATTATATTATAATATAGGTAGTTCAGTTTCTGTTTCCATCTGTTTTTTTCTAATTAAAGTATTTTAATATTTAATAAATAAAGTATTTACGTTTGCGAGTAAATGTTTTTATTATTTTGGTGTCATCAGTTTTTTGTCAAGATTTATATTATATATATTATTTTCTTTATAGAATTTCTAACTGATGTGTAGCGTGTAGGTCATCGTTATCCTTCATGATTTACACACACAAATTGCACAGTGTGATAATTGATTAATCCGTTATAGTATAAAGTAACATTATTAAATTAATAATGTTATCATACAGGTAAATTGAAAATTTGATTAAACGATATAAACGAATTCATCAGTAGGTATAAGTTTGTAATTAATTTTAAACTCGTAACATTAATATACATACAGGAATGCTCCATCATAATTCACATTAAAACCTGCCCTTCTTATACCTACCCTTCTGAAAAATCTCGCCTCGCTAAAATATGCCTGAAATCAAAGGAATCCTCCCCTCGGGGGACTGAAATGAAAAATTGTGATAGGTACCGCGATTATTAAAATAATTTGTAAATACCAAATTCCTGAAAAATATCCATATACTCGTAAATTCGTTATGTCATTATATGAGTATCATCGGTTAGAAAGCTGGTAAGCATAATCGGGTTATGTTCAAAAAACGAAAATTTCAAGTATATTTTAATTTTTCATATACCTAATATATCTAAAAGAATCCAGTATATTAATTATATATTATACTATTTCAGTTTCAAATACAGGGATCAATATTTAGTTTCTATGGATAATATTAAGTTTAATAATAATAATAATATAAAATATAAAAAAAGTAAGTACGGGCATACTTCACATGATGGACGGCCCGGTACTGTAGGTGAGAAGTTGAGAAGACAGAGGGAAAATTGAATGTATATCTGTACAAAACGATTAACCATTGCTAACGAAAATTGATTTTGAGCAGAATTCAGTTTATAAAGTTGCTTTTATACTTTGATATTAAAATTCTACATAACTCATTTTTTTTCTTTTACCACAAAGTACAACTTTGAATGAACCTCCTGTTCAACTGTTTAGCATTTCTGTTTAATCTAACAATTTTATCCACAAAGTACCTACCGAACAAAAATTACATAAAAAGACCTCGTAAAATTAAAATATCTATAAATAGCTCAAAAATGACTAATGTTACCATTATAAACCATAAAATACCACCCCAGTCAGATTTCCTTTCAGAAAAAGTGCTATCATTGTAAATCGGAGCAATATAGGTACACTTAAAATGGTTTTGTTTTTTCCCTATTTAGGTGAAAGGGGGAAAAAAAGTGCAAACAATTTCATTTCAAACCCCAAGTTTGAGAGCCCGCGTCCCCTAATATGACAAGAGGTATTCGTGACCATTCGACTACAACAAACATATGGTAAAATAGAAAATATGCAGTTACTTAACATAAGCATAATATCTGCATAATATCTGAACTTCAAAATGCTATAATTTCGAAACTTCGTCGATACGCTCAATTCCGACTTTATCATTCTTCTTAAATCGACAATATACATGTTTGAAAAAAAAAAAATTGAAAAATTAGATTTGTTTCACATAATTTTTTACTCAAACTATTTTCATCAAAATGTAGTATCAAAATTCCTTTATAAAAACAAATACTACATTAAACTCAATTTTTTTTTTTATTACTAAGTAGGATTTAATATTAAATTTTCAAGCATTTCTGGTAAGTCTAACAATTTTGCCACAGAGTACCTACCATATAAAAATTACGTATAAAACCAGCAAAATTAAAATGTCTATAAATAGTTCAAAAATGGCTTAAATTTTTTGACAATTTTACCACTTCTAGAAAATACAAATATAAGTTTTCTGTCTAAATTTCAAGTTTCTACGAATATTTTTAACTAAATTACAACAAATAACAAAATTAATAAAATAATAAAAACATTAACTTCTTACATTTCCTGTTTTTCTTAAGTTTTTATCCTGGATTTTCCCAGATATTATGAAAACCGCTTAGAAAATCAGAACATGACTTCCCAAAAGTACCATTTGGACAAAATTCTTTTTCAGAAATGGTGCCGTGCGTATATATCTGAGCAAGATTTATGGTCAAATTTTTGTACACAAGATAAAGATCTTAAGTTTAACAACTTTCTCTACAAAACACCTACCAAATAAAAATTACGTAAAAAACTTGCAAAATTAAAATGTCTATAAATGGCTCAAATATTTTATACATTTTACGACATCTAGAATAATATAAGTTTTTTGTAAACATTTTTAACTGACTTTATGTTTAACTGAATTACATTACAAAAACAAAATGTAGGTATAATAATAAAATAATTATTTTCGTAAATTTTCCGTATTTTTACTAATTTTTTGGTTTTGAAAAAACTACAAAGAAAATCGAACATTTTTTTGTTGTCACCAACTAGATAAAAAATTGAACAATAACGATCTCTTATAACTTTTCGATTGGAGCAATATTTCTGATAGGAACAAGTTGCAAAAATAAAAACAATGAAATCGTTAACCCCGCGACGTGCCTTAAATATTTACCGTTTCACTTACAATTTTATTTCGGGTTTTTCCCAATTATTTCTAAAATCACTCGAACAATCAAAAAATGACCTCTTTATTATACCTATTAGACAAAATTTCTTTTCAGAAAAGATGGTATACTCTGTACGTAGAAGTAAGATTTCTTTTCAAAAAGTTGTTTACAGACAGAAAACGATTTTTTTAAAAAAAAACACACAATATCATAGTAGAACCAATAGATCCCTCGCTACGCTTAAAAGAAATAAAACCGAGTAAAATATGCAATAAATAAACGTAAATTCAAGTGAAATAATTATTTAAGTGTAACGGAATTTCGTGTATACTATTATAATGTAATAATAAATCAACGTTATTAATCGAGACCTCTGGTGACAACTGAATTTTGAAGTTTCGACTCGATCATTGATCGATTACATACCTATGTACCTGCAGACGCCACGTAAATCGAATTAGATAATTAAATCTTTATTGTTTAGAGGGCGGGGGTGGAGTTGATGTAAATGTTAACAAAACCGCACAGCGCAGTTCAGAACTATAACTTATAGAATTGTATAGTTTGAAAGATATTTTATTAGAATAGAACTTAACGGCAATGGCGTCAAAAGTTTCGGGTATTGACTACCTATTGAACTATATGGCGAGCCGTATTTTGAATGCCACGTATGTATACCTAATGCAGCCATACAAATTTATAATATTGAGTTTTGAACGCAGTTTTTTTTTATTATTATTATTATTATTATTATTATTATTCGCCTACGCGTGCACGAATTGAATACGTATGTTTATTATATTGAAAACTCACTACGATATAAATTACTTTTCGGCGGAAAAAATCGGAAGATTCATAATATATAGTACTAGTACATGCGTGGCGATTCCCAAAATATAAAATTACCATTATATCTTTCGTACCAGAAAAAAACGTCAAAAGTCAATATTTTCATAGTTTTCGATAAAAGAATATTAAATTTTTAGAATCGCTAAATAACTAAACGGCTTAATTACTAAATATTTATTATGACTTGAGTTGTTTTTGGTCAAACAAAATAGTGACTTCAGATTATTCAATTTACAGTATTACGTGTGAAACATGCAATATATGTAGAAGATACATACACGAGTGTCATTTAAACCAAAATATAAAGCGAACAAAATTACATTAATAAAATTATAAATTATAAATAAAATATGGCAGCATTTTGATTAAGCCCTTTTTCCCTGGAAGCAAAGGTTATTTATATAGGTACTCAGAATTGAATAAAACGTGTGTTTAATTGTACTAAATTTAGACTATATAGGTAATTAGCTATAAGAAATGAAATAAAATGTACAGACAGAAACTGGACTTAACTTATTAAACGGAAGTTCTCGATCCATATACAGTTTACACAATAGACATATTGTTTTATGTTTTAGATTTAGATTTTAAGTTATTAGTTATAACTTTGAGTATTAGGTTTTATTCTAAATTATATTTTTTGTCTATAATATATTCACAAAATGTATATATCCGCTTATTATAATGGATACATATAGGAACACAAACGATAAGAAGACATAAAAATTCGAAAATATAATTTTGACTCAACGTAATATTTGGAATCTAACGATTCTCTATATTACGGTTTCTCATCATTTTCATTGAAAGTAACATTTTTAATGCCTATTACTGATTAATTTATTTCGGAAAAATTTAATTTTTAATTTTATGTCATATATATGTGCATTGTACTGTTGCAAGGAAAACATTTCGGTTGGGAGAATCACTAATAATTTGTATTATTACCTGTTATGTTTTAGAATAATGAAATACACCAAAACAACTTAAATAAATAATGAAAACAGATTTCGAAGAGAGACACGTGTATAAGAAACTGATATAACGGCAAATAGATTCATTAAAACTGTTTTTATTGATTGATCATAGAACAACAAAATAATAATGTTTATTCATTGTGAGAATAACAAACATTGTTTCACTATAAGTTTTAATAGAATATATATAAACGCATCGGAAATACGAATGAAGACGGCACGAACTAAGTTTCCAATTTAGAAATACAAACATCGTATATGTTTTAACTTAATGGACCCGTGTCCATTCACAAGTAATTTGTTTCGGTTAAAAATTCGCAACCGATCATCAAATGATAATTTATTAAAACTTAACAGACTTCTAATTGAAAATATGTAAATGTTTTCACTTTCTTTCATTTGTATATGTATATTTTCTTTTCTTTTAATGTATACATAGTAAAAACGGATACGTTGGTTTGAGAGGATTTAAAATTAAAATTTATCATCAACTACCAATAATTGTATGGGGAAAAAAAAAATTAAAACGTAATGGATAGAAAATCAAAATACCCTCTGAATTTTGGTTAAAAGTTTAAATTTCGGAAACGGATCCTCCGAATAGGGTCTGGATCCCTAACCCCTTAGCTACGT